TGTGTACAAACAATGGGTAATTTATACTCTTATTCAGTTACTATTACTAGTATTTACAGGGTATTATATGAGCTGGCTTATGGTGGTTTGACAAAAACCATACAACTCATATTTGAGACTAACAATAATTAATTTCTCACTGCAGTTTTGAACTGATTTGCATATATACGAAACGCTTTCACTTTTAATTGATTAGTTTGCGATTAAGACCATCACAAAATGCTAGAAAGACAATTGCTCGCAACTTCATTGGTTCTAGAATATTAATCCTCAATATATCTACTCCCCAGTTCTGAAATGATCTTTCCAAATTGACAATTGACTTTTCATGCATTTTGAAGAAAGTTGAAAAATATCTATCTTCTTCCGGAAATTAAACCCACAAAAAAATAGAATTGGAAATACACATTTATTTATTTAAATTATGTTTAATTTTTGTCAAAAAGTGCCACTGTTTTATTAAAAGAAAATCAAAATATAAAGAGTTATTAGAGTTGAAGAAATATTTTTTAATTTTACACCTATAATTAAATAAATTGAATTAAAAATTAAATTATACTCCGTAGTAAGGAGGAGAGGGTGGGTTAGACTTAAGAGTTAAGACTACCCGGGGACCGTGAAGGAAACATTTACTACGTACTCCGGTATTTTATTTGGTCAATTTTGTGAGTGGGGTCCAATAATAATATTAGACAAAGGTGACGGACCAGTGGGGCCAATGGGACACGTGTATATGCAGCATCTATCATTCTATCTGTAAGCGTCCCCTCATTTACTCGTCCCGAAAATTATTGGTCCAGATTTAGAAAACTCGCAAAAATTTAGAAAAAATGAAAAGTAAATATTTCATTTTACTATCTTCCTTCATTAATATTTGTCTAGTTTTGATTTTTTTAGTTAATCATTTTTAATTTTTGATTTATAATTAAATAACATATACTCCCTCCGTTCCTAAATGGATTACAATCTTTTTTTCTCTCTCCTCTTGATAACTTATGTTTGTTTACGCGATTTCATCAAGTATTTGATAAAATAAAATATTCTTGTCACCTCTTGTTTTGTAGAACTTTTGACATAGTTTTTTAATATGTACTCCCTCCGTCCCACTCTCTTTGTCGACTTACCTTTTGGCACACCATCCAATGTACTTCTTTTTAGGTAAAATAGAACATTAAACATATAATTTTTTAATATCTTTAATATATAATTATTAGATATACAATTCTGTTTAGTTTGTTCTAGTGTGTACTGATATAAATCCGAATGTGTAACTCTCTTAAACTACTCAGTTTCACGAATCTACTTGTCAAGGTTTTCAGTTTTCACCTGTTTCTCTCACCCTGCCAGGTAGTAATTTTTATAGCTTATTGATATACCAATTTGTAAATAAAATGATTTTTAAAAGTAGGAAATTTTTTTACTTCGTAACCCGCAATTTGTAATCAAATTGGGGACGGAGGGAGTATATTGTACAATAATTACCGAAAGTAATAATAATTTGAAAATATTTTATATAATAAATCTAATAAAATTATTTTTGTATCAATATCTAAAAGTAATTTTATGGGAGAAAGACCAAAGTAGGACTAAAACATTGAAAATATACCAAAATAGGACTTCCATGTTTTTATTCCCGAAATAGGACTTACATTACCATACATGGTCATATACATTATCAAAAACGTATAGTAATTTGCACATGTACACTGTCACAAAAACATGAAAGTCCTATTTTGGTACTTTTATCTATGTTCTAGTCCTATTTAGGGTGATTTCTATAATTTTATTTAATTTGATGTTAATGTTTACCAATCTTAACTGAAAAAATCAAAAATGAAAAAAATATGGAGTACTTAGAAAGGAAGGGTGTAGTCAGTGGATTCGGTGGTGTATTTCATATTTGTGAAAATCTCAACATCCACAACACGAGTTTGTTTTTACAATGTAAAATAAAGATGTTATGAATAGCATTTTTATTAAACTACAAGTTGGTTATTCCATCCATCTTAATATTTTTATATTGTATTTACCTGATCAAATTTTAATTAATTTCTTTATCTTTTTTATAATCATGTCACTATTTATTTTGTAAAATTTTGGGTTCCGTTTAGTATACATAATTCAAACTATGAAATTGGAATCAGAGACAAAAATTCCAATTCTGCTGTTTGATAGCGTTGATTTGGAATTGGTAATGCCAAAAATAAATTGGAATCAAAGAATTCAATTCCATCCAAATAAATTTCATAGAATTTCAATTTTCAATTCAATTCCAATTCCGTCAATTCCTTATATCAAACAGATCCTTAATGTAATTTTTAACATATAAATTTTCTTTTTTAATTTGAGTCAGATCTCGAAACTGACAAAATGTTTTATGATAGAGAGAGTATCACATTGAATGAAACTCCCACGCTTTAAACCCGATTCTAAGAGCATTAGTAATGACAAGACAAAAATGAAATGCCACACAGTGACATGGACTATTTCAACCAATAAAAAATAACCCAGCAATTGTGTGGCGAATGAGTGGAGTGTCGTAACATACGGTGGCAAGTCATTATTTTTATACTTTTTAATTATTTTTAATTATCAAAAATTATTTTATACATTTATTTTATTATTAAAACATGTCCACTTCTTTTAAAAGATATTTTTAAAAAATTAAAAATATTAAAAATATTTAAAAAATTAAAAAAATGAGGAAGTCATGGCTTGCACATGGAATGAAAAATGGGATGGAATGATCATGGAATGCCATGATTTGAGTTTAATTTGCTGACATGGCTAAAAACAAGTCAAGGCATTGCCTTCCATTGTTAATGCTCTAAATCCCACTTAACACGAGATTAAGGGTAGGAAAGGCAAACGTTGTTGGCACCGTCTTCATTATAATCGCAGAAACAAATGCTCTCTACTAATGACCAATAATCATCATCCCGTCCCAGATAATAACTGTCGAGAAAACAACCGGACCGGCAACAAAGCTTCTGTGTGAGCCTTCTTCTTCTTCTTCCCCTTCCCCTTCCATCCGTTCATTGAAATACACGCATTTCTTGCCTTCCTCCCTTCAACCCCCTCCCACCTTTCTCCTTTTCCCTTTCCTCCTGCTCTGGAAGGTTTCAGATCAACTGTTACGGAGCTACTTCATCATCATGTGAGATTCGCATGAGCATTTTGGAGAGGGGAGCCATGGAATTTGCTAGAATTAGGGATCTTTTTGCCCTAATGAGCATTTCCAGAAGCACCCGGGTTGCCCTCGTGGGTGGAAATCACACCGCTGCCAGGTTCTGCTCCCGCTAAATCTTCTTCTTCTTCCTCTTCGTTCTCCATTGTTGGCTGGATTCTATCTTCCCTTTCCTCTCTCTTTCTCTATCTCTTTGCGTGTTTAGTTCCGTTCTAAGCTAAGATTCTGGAGATCCGGGTTTCTCGTTCGGCAAAAGAAAGAAAAATCGAACCTTGGGTTGCCGATCTGTTGCCTATTTGCTGTGTACAGTTGAAGTGTTTGATTGATTGTCCCTGAGAATGGATTTGGCTCGTAGCCACAGCCATGGCAGTCGCCGTGGTGTAAAGCCCAAGCCTATTTGCTTTTACGGGGTAGGGATTGCTTTGAATCCCGACGCCCTGTTGATAATCAAACTCCCTGATGCCAGAGTTCTGCGGATAATGTCCCGCTCCCTGTTCTTGGCTGTGGTTCTGGTCACTCTGGCCTCGTTTGGGTCGGTTATGAGAGGTTCTTTTAATGCTCCTAATGATTCTTATGACGTGGACTCTGATTGGGGCGATTTCTCCATGCTGCCCAGTCTTATCCATGATCTGTCTGATGAGGGCCTTCTCCGCAAGGGACACAAGGGCCTCATTGTGAGTTCTGGTTATGGTGATTTGGTTGAAGATATGGATTTGGAATTCTTAAACGAAAGAGAGATCGAATGGGTGATTGGGTCCGGATCTGATCCAATGAAATCCATTCCGAATGAGTCGTTTGATTTCGCCATCGGATCAAGCTTCCGGAATGCAAAGTTCATTGATCGGGTTCTCAAGACCGGGGGCATTATGGTCATCCCGTTGAGCAATGACCCCTCCAACGAGCTCTTGCACCCAATAAACTATGGGATTGTGTACCTCAGGAGATTCGAGAGCACGATAGTGGCAATGAGGAAAAATGGCATTGCTAGGAATGCAAGAAAAGCCGAGACAATTTGTGGGACAACCCGTGAGGCTAAGAGAGCAGCATTGAAAAACTTGGAGGATGCCCTGCTAGAACCACCTAGAGGGGCATTCGTGAAATCGAGTATGAGGAAAATGAAGTTCCTCCCTGATTTAATGGGGGATTCGCTCGAGAGTTACCCTCGAAGGGTTTTCATTTCTGATGACAAGGACGGTGCAGAGGAGTGGTTTCGCAAGAACTACCCTGTAAAGAATCAAAGATTCGATTTTTACCGAATTAACATTGTGACTGCTGTTGGTTCTGAGGAAGAGGGTGTTGGGGCGTCTAATTGGTTGAGAAACACTGCAAAGGAAGAGGATTACGTTGTGATGAAGGCTGATGTGGAATTGGTGGAGGAGTTGTTGAGGAAGAAGACAATTTGCCTCATAGATGAGCTGTTTTTGGAGTGCAAAAGCCAGTGGGATGAAGGTGGTGAAGAAGAAGAGAACCGGCCAAAGCAGAGGGCTTATTGGCAATGTTTGGAATTACACGGAAGGTTGAGAGAGGAGGGAGTCGCAGTTCATCAATGGTGGACTTGATCGCGCCTTTTTTTCTTTAGGATTTGAGAGTGCATTTAATTGGTGATTCACCTGTTTGCCTCTCTCTCAATATCATCTTCTTCTTATCTCGTGTAAGGTTGTGATTATATATATGATTTGCTTGTTTTGAGCAAATTGTCGTTGAATATGTACCTGTTAATTGTTAGACTCTTTTGTTGTTGGAGGTTTGTATTTGTGACAATTTCATGTTAGTTGACTCAGCTGGAGGAACTAATAAAAAAGTGTGTTGATTTCTTACTCAAGTGTCTTTCTTTTTGGGTTAATTCTAATTCTGGCAAAGCATTTTTCAATCTAATTACTTCTTAGATTTTTGGATTGAGAACCTAACAAGCATTGTACATGTTCAGGATTTTGAGTAGTGAATATCAAATAGATATTAATCTGGATAAAAGTACTGTGTAAAGAACATGAACTTGATGAACAACTTATGTTACTGTCTCAGGTGTTTTCTACAACCAAAAGGGGAAAGTTAAATAGACAAATCTTTCGATACTTCATGCTTGAGACAAATTGAGAAGAAATTTTTCTTTTTCTCTCATGTATCCTCAGGAAATGGAATTTCTCCACCTTCTTGGTGCTTTTCTAGCAATTTCTGGGTTTGCAACTGGAGTCCCCATATCTTGGTTCTCTAAATTTGTCGTCTTCGTCAGCTTGCTCAGTTTCTTCCACCCTGCAGACCACGCCGAGGAGCCCTGTTTGGGTTTCGCCAGTTTATCGAATTGCCTCTGAAGACTCTCCATCTCGCGCTGGAGCTCCAAGTTCCTGGACTTGACAGTCTCCAGCTCAAACTTGAGTGTGTTGATATCCTTCTTTGCCGATGCCCATCCTTCCTGAAACGACTGCGGCGTCGCGTCAAGCAGCGTTTTGCGGTTGGACACCAAGGGCTGGTAGTGAGAGTCGCCGGAGGAATCTTTGAGGGCGTTATTGGCAATGGCGTTGCTTATCTTCACCTGCTCAGAGAAGAGGACCTGGACCACAATTCTGAGAGGGAGCCTCTCGTTCTGAGCTGCGTGCATGCACGCGTCAATGGAGAGTTTCTGGCAGTCCATGACACGGCACAGCCTCTTCCTCTCATGTTCTGACAGCGCCGGGTGAGCCTACCAAATCAAGAAACATGAATGAACACATGATTTAAACATCAAACAGATTAACAATGAAGCTTTCCAAGCCTTCATACATGCTGGGTTTTTGTAACTTTTACCTTAAGATAGGAATCGATGGCTCGATAGAGGCCATCGTCGCAGGTTCTTGCAGACTCAGGCAAAGCCTCGGCGAGGACCTGAAATTTAGTCAGGGAGAGGTTTCTGTCCCTGGAAACTTCAGTGAGATAACTGTCAACAAGCCTAGCCACTCTCATCTTGGCGTTCAGATTCGTCCCCCTTTGACTCCCTCCATCGTGTAGAGTATTGCTGTGTTTGTTATTGCCATCAGAGAATGAATTCCTGCTGGGACTGCAACTCTCAGTCTGCTCCTGAACAAGGAAATGCTCCAAAACCCTCTGGACCAGGTCGACATCGTACAGAGTCTCCGCCTTGCTGTAAGAAGGAATGAGAAGATCCGGCAGAGCCGCCTGCTCAAACTGCATCCCCACCCTCTTCTCCAGCTCTGTGACCAGGGCGGGGGCCACTTTCAGCATGCTGGCCATCCTCAGGAGCCGCAGGAGGAAGCTGCAAGTCACGCTGTCCTTCTGCGGAGGGATTATGCTTATCAGGCTCTCAATGATCATTCTCTGGTCTTTGGTGGGAACAGTGTTCAGCGTGTCGTCTCTGGTTCCCGCCACCACCATGTATAGTCCGCCGCCTTTCCAGCTGGTGGTGGTGGTTCCTTCATCGGATCCGGCGGCGGCGTGGCCCTCCTTGATCAGTCCGGGGAGCCATTTGGCGGCGTAGTGCATAATTGAAGCACCGATCAGCTCGTGCCTCATCCCTTTCACTTTGATCGCGGTGACCACTCTGACGAAGTGGTCGATCCTGAGAATTGAGACGTCCTCAAACCACCAATCGGGCGGGGCCTGGTTTCTGCTAGGGCTGGATTCCTTCAATTCGTTCCATTTAGGGCTGGAACCCGCCGGAGGCTTCCCGGTGTACTGCCACCGGATCCCCTTGGGATTCGCGCTGGCCTTCCAGGCGATGGACTCGCTGCACCTCCGCACGATCTGGAGATTCTCCGCCCAGGGCGACAGCTTCTCGCAGCTCTTCAGCACGACGATGGAGTCGCGCCACGAGGACAGGACGACGTAGCTGAGGAAGGCTTCGGTTTTGAAGATGAGGTTGCCCTCCTCCAAATCCTCCGTCATTTCGAGGTACTCCGCCGTGCATCTTAAGCCGGAGATGTTGGTGGCGGTCAGATCAACGGCGATTCCGTAGCAGAACTTGGCGGCTAGCTCGAAGGACTCGGGGCCGCCGGGAAGGTCGTCTAGGGTTATCTTGCTCAAATCCGCATTCCGGGAATCGTATATGATTCTGTTCAACTTCCCACTCCTTGAAAGCAGAGGATACTGCACCACAACAATTTCTTTCAAAAAAAAATGGTTGATTCACAAAATAAAGTCACAAATTTATAAAGTTACTATTTATAAACCTCAATTAAAAAAATTTATGAGGGAGGCAGGCCATAATTTCAAATGCAAAACTGAAAACCAGTAAAAATTCCCTCCAACTGATTGGAACATTTTACTGGTTTTATGGGGGATGGGGGAAAGGTCAGAGGAGGACTGGGCTGCCGATTTTTAGCCTTTTATCGGGTATCCGGCGGCGGCGCGAAGAGGGCGGGGAGGCGGAGGCCTAGAAACCGAGAAAATCGGAAAACCACCGTCGAGGATGTCCCTCCTCAAATTGTTCCTCCCCCAAAACCGTCGCCCACTTCGGCTCAATTCAACCTGAGCCGACCCGGATTCGAGCCTGGCCGGCCCCTCCTGACCCGGCTCTCCCCGACTCTCTTCCCGTATATGAGCACCAGGAACAACCCATCGTCGTCCACTAGGGAAGCCGCAGTGTCTTGACACCATCTCGTCCTCAATTGGGAGTGGGGGGGGGAGAAAGAACAGGGGTCGGGAGAAAGAAAAGAAGAAGAAAAGCAAGAAGAAGAAGAGGATGGAAGGGGAGAGAGAGGATTGAAAAGATAGATGTGGCGGATGGGAGAAAGAAAAAGAAGAAAAGAGGAAAAGGAAGAAGAGGAGGAAGGGGGAGAGGGAGAGAGAAGATTGAAATGGAGAAGGGTATTTTGGAAGAGTGTGGGTTAAAATTAGAAATGTAAACTTTATTTTCGGACAAAGAAAAAGGAGAAACGTAAACTTTATTTCCGGACGGAGGGAGTATAGTCTAAAATAATTTTTGATTGAAAATTTAAATCATAATGATAAATTTATGAAGTTTGTGATCATTTTGTTTATGGATCTAATTTGAATATCAAAGTAGTTACTCATAAATTAGGTTTCTACTTAACATTAGAATAGTTTGTCTCATTTTAAACAATGCACATTTTTGTCACAAACATGAAACTAGTTTGTTACTTTTAAGATTTATTAAGGTGAAATTTAATAGTAGAAAATACTTTTACACGCCTACAAAATATTATTTTTGATAAAATAATATTTCGCTACACAGAGATCCATGAAAATGCTTGTGTCATACGGAGTAGATAATTTTTTTATGTATAAATCATCAAATTTAAAAGCGGTATTAAAAATATTTTTAAAAAGTTCGTAAAACACTATTTTTGATAAAATATTACCACTCCCTCCATTCTAAAATGTTCTTTCTAATTATTATTCAAATAGTTAAACTTTAATTACTTTCATTACCTATTTTCGTTAGTTATTTCATAAAATAATATTGTCTTGCCACTTCTTGTTTTGTAGAACTTTTGATGTAGTTTTTTAATGTATAAATTTTATTTTTTTAATTTTATACCTACAATTAAATAAATTGAATTGAAAATAAAGTCGGTCAAATTTCGTAAATTGAAACGAAAATAACATTTTAGGACGAATGAAGTATGTATTTTATCACGGATCTATAAAAATATGTTTAATACTCCATACTAGATTAAGATTCATAGAGTATAAAATAAATCTTAAAATTCACATGCCAATTTTGAGTATGCGACAAAAATTCATAGAGTATAAAATAAATTTGTTTCAAAATGAAATTTAATTTTTGTTAAAATTGAATAGTCATAAAAATGATTAGGAATGATTTTTGCGATAAATTTGTTTAATACTCCATACCACGGATCATATTTGTTTGTTTGTATATTTTCATTGATCATGTGATAAACTAAAATATTATTGTCACATTTTGTTTTGTAGAACTTTTGGTGTACTTTTTAACAATTTAATTTTTAGTTTTTATTTTTGTACCAATTCGTAAATAAAATGGTTTTAAAACTAATTGGATTTTATACGTTGTTCGAAGACTGACAAACATTATGAGAAGGAGGAAATATAATTGTGAGTACTTTGATCAATTTCACAAGATAGAATATGTTTAAATTTAATTTTACATGTGAATAGTAAAAAATGTATAGATTAAAAAATGAAAAAAAGGTGGTTAATTATGAGGGAAGTGGGATTTAAGTAAAGATACCTTGTGCAAATAGAAACTGGCATCTCCAATTTGAACTAAGAGATCACTTGGGACATCAGTTGCAACATACCTACACAAGAATTGAAGATGCCAAAATTCATATATTTGTCTCACGCAAAATTATCTAAATAGTACTGTCCCATTATTTTTGAACATGGAGGAGTAACAAGTAAATGAACAAAAGTAAATTTGAAGTTCAAAGTTTGTTGAGTTTGATTCGAAAAAGTCAAATTAGAAAAATACACTGGGACGGAAGGAGTAAATTTATATTATAATTCAATGTACTTTTCTCATAATCTGTTGTCTGTCACTCTTTGACCAAAAAAGTCAAAACACGGACAAAGGAAGTACATACCAAGATTCACCCCTTTGCTCAAAACCATCACTCTTGACACCAGGCCTGGCGGCGGCGGCGGCAGCGAGAACTCCATCTCCAGCGGCGGCGCCGCCATAGTCACCACCGCTGACAGACTCAGTCTCCGATTCCCACATTGTAAAGCAGCTACCAAAACCTTCTTCTTAGCTATAAGGTTCCCCAAGAAAATTGAAGTATGGATAGTCAATGGCTGGGGGTGAGTTTTATACCAAGACTACAAGATGGAAGAAAGGTTTAGATACTCCAAAGTAGCTTAGCTAGCAGCAGTAGTAGTAGTATATAAGAGCTGGTGGGTAAGAAGCAAGCAATATAATGATCACTTTAAAAAGATGGTACTTGGTCCGTCCCTCAGTGTTTGTCCACTTTTGACTTTTGAAACTGTTCATCTAAGCACTTTGACTCATCAAATTCTCTCAATGTGTAAGCCTAAAAATAGTCATGTGTGATCTTGTTTGATTCGTCTTAACATATAGATTATTAATATATAATTTTTATAATTTTTTAATATACAAATTCTCTCTTACTTTTTTTTGACAAACTTTGATCATCAATTTAAAAAGTTACCACTTTCGTCTTAGAGTATCCGTCTAGTTTGATTTTTTGAGTCAAATTGGGCAAATTCTAGACCTCAATTAAATTAAAATAGTAACGTATTTTAGTATAAAAATTATTTTAACAGATCTATCTTGTTAAGAACTATTAAAATTTTAATTTGTTTTATTGATACTCAACACAAATTAAGAGTAATTGATGATTAAAATTTATCTACTTTGACTCAAAAAAGTCAAACCAGACAAATACACTATAACGAGGGAGTATATCTTTTCCCTTCTATAAAAATAATTATTACTTCATACACCTCTTTTTTTTATTCTTTTAAGAGAAATTCATTTTTTATTTGGATTGTATTCGCAGGTCTAACACTCTAACTATAACCACGTTTCTTTACCCATTTTTGCTACTCATTTGATAAAATACTGTAGTCTTGTCAAATCTTATTTTGTAGAATTTTTAATGTAGCTTTTAAAATTATAAATTTATTTTTTTGATTCCATACCAATTTAAAAAAGCACGTATTTAAAAATAACTTCGATCAAACTTAGTAAACAACAAGAGACGATTTAAATTAGGAGTATATGGCTGTGACAGGCTGTGGCATCATGGGCACACCAAACACTCCCTACTGCGGTTCTAACCCATTTCCCTGATTATACCCTGAAATTCCTTTTTTTTCTTTTCTAAACTATATCTCCATATTCTTTTTTATTTTCTTTGAATAAATAAAGAAAAAGAGAGGCTATATATTCAAGCTGAAAAACATTGTGGATTTTAGTTAGGAACAAAGAGAGTATTATTGGTTGGAGCATGTGGGCTGTGGACATGTCATGTTAATGATATCCCTGGTGGAACATGCTCTGCAGATTTATTATGCTCGAGAAAATGATCAAAATGAACACTTTTCACAAGCTTTTAGATGATGATTAAAAGTTATTACAAATTACTGCAGATTATTTTTCCTAGAATTACTGCAGATTATTTTTTCTAGAATTACTGCAGATTACTATACATTTTCTAGTTATTACATACTATTAATATTAGTGTTCTAGAATGAAGTTTTCCTTTTTTTTTTCACGGAGCTTAAGAAAAAATAAAATTAAATGATGAAAATCTATGCAGAGGAAAGATGTAGTGTGAATCTCTTATTTCTTTCTCTAACACTATGTTTGGTTCAAGGAAATCGGGAGGAAAAGAAAAGAAAATGGTTTTCACTCAATTTTCTCACCAAAATGGGAGGAATTTGGTTTTCTCTCATCTTAACACATTTTGCCTTCTCATTTTCTTTTCCCTCCATTTTTCTTTTCTTTTCCTCTCTAACCAAACAAGAAAAATGTTTTCCTTTTCATTTTCATTTCCTTTTCCTCTCAAATTCCTTAAATCAAACATAGTGTAAATGTAATGAGAACTTTTTTTGGGTACTGCGGAAAAAGGTTTGCAGAAAGTGTTTAGCATAAGATTTTTTTGGGTCCCAAACAGTTCTATTCTAGCATAATGATTTCTGGCACAAAAAAAAAAGAAGGATAATACTAGAGTTAAAGAGAGACAATGCAGGCATCTCCCGTCGTGTCGTGTCGTGCCGAGCCAAGCCACCACGCCAGCCGTGGCGGTGCGCGTAGGAAGTTTGAATAAATTTGCAAACAGTGAAAACATGGCAATAATTTTCTTCCAAATAATGACATTTTTCATCCAAGTTTGTATAAAATTGCACACCTATGTGTTTTAGTTTAAAAAAAAGAGTTGGACTAACCATGGTTGGATTAGCTAGCATTGTGTGTGTAGGTCCATTATTGACTTATCAAAAGACACATTTCTGCAGCCCACTGTGTGTATGGATAGATGGGTTAAGGCATAATGCAAATCCCCACATCATTTCCTGATTCTCCCTATCTTTTCACTAATGATGATTAAAAAAAATTTAATTAGTCAATAAATCTGTAAAAGGAGATAATACTCGGATTCGATTCATGTCAACGCCAATAAAAGATAATCATGTGTAACAGGAGTTTTTTTGCACGTACTAAAGACATCACCATTCTTATAATTTTTAGGGAACCAAATGGGTCATACAAGTTTGAGAGAATGTATTATAAGACAAATGATTGATTGGGTGATAGTGTTTGGACCTACACATGTGAAAGCCACTTTCAGTGCTGGCAAACTTTAGTGATAGAAATGTGAAATGCCCAATCATTTTCAGTCACTACCCAATGCAGGTGAAAATTAGAGGGTTTGAATTATATTTACCACAAGGTTTGGAAAATTAACTGAGGAAAATGACTAGTGATGAGACAAATGCTGTGAAACTGTTAAGCACAAACTGCAAATTATCTGAGATTATGCCAAATTATAATTCTCACAATACTTGAGAAATCACATTTCCACTTATTTCACTTTGGAAACTAGTGAAATTGTACGATGAAAGTTTATGCAAGAAGATCTTTTAGAGACTGAGGGAGTATTACGGTACCAATAAACAAAATTACACGAACCAAACAAGGTTCTGATAAATCACTTGTTTACATAAAACCTAGGAAATGAATGTTACATTTGATGAGCCAAACACCCCCTAAGTTATGTCATTATAGGACACAGAAATCGAGCGTGAAAAACCAAACCATACCGGTAAGCTCAATCAAAACCAGGGTCAGGAGAGGAATGCTTCGGCTACAAGTTGTCGGGGAACTTCTCAAGAAAAATGTTATGGAAATTCTCAGCTTTCTCATTCAGCCCAATATTCGAATATGCATCTACCAGTCTACTGCAGCTTGACCTATCAAGTTCCAAGCCACATGACTTCTTCCATTGACCCACAATTTCCCTCACCTCCCTAATGTGTCCAAGCATCAGATATGATGAAATGATGCACAAGTAGTTTCTGCTTATCATTTTCTGTTTCGTCATCGTCAAAGATTTCCAAACCTGGTCAAGTTGCTTTTTATCCCCAAGCCCCCCATATAGAATGATCAAGAAATCGTAAGTTATCCACTCCCTTTGTGTAATGCCCTTCTCGGTCTCAACCAGAGAGTTGGCTTCCGAGTTCAAAAGGTGGCCCGTTGAGATATATATGTTCACAAGATCTGCATATCTCTGCCAACACTCATTAGATCCCTGGTCCGAGTTCATTTCATCAAGAATCTGTCTAACTTCATCAATCTTGAGAGACGCGGCACATGAGCTGATCCACAAATTGTAAGTGAATATATCTGGCGAAACATTCAGGGATTTCAGCTCTTGGATGAGCAGAGGTATCTTCTCTAGCTGTCCAACAGACATGTAAAGAGTCAGCAGCTCATTGTAAGTGAGGGTAGTGAGTGAAATGTTTTCTTTCTTCATTCTCTCATGGAGTTCCTCGGCCTTATCGGTTAGTTTTGAGCTTGCAAATGAGTGGAGGAGGGCAGTGTATGTTTCCGTGGTTTTCGCAGTTTGTGGGAGAGCTTCGAAGTATCTCTCTGCTGCATCGATGCCAAAAACTTTGGCCATCAAGTCAATGCGAATTGCATAGTCAGTGTCCAATATCTCATTATCATTGTTAGAGACCATCCACTCTGATATCTGTGAAAATATGCATCGCAAATCAGTACTTGTAATCTCCTGGGAAAAACCTATCAACTTCATAGTAGGGATAAGGCATGCGTACACCCACCCACCCTAGACCCTGTTTTTCCGGGATTCTACTAGGTCTGTTGTTGTCATCGTTGTAAATCAATGCTAGTGATGAAGAAAAAACGTTGTCATCGTTGTAAATCAATACTTGTGACTTTATTATCCTAAAAATCAACAACACAACTTTATTTTCTTGAACACTGTGTAAAGTGAAGTGGGATAACAAATAAAAAACACTATTAGACTTATGGAGTAATCTGCAAGAACTTATTGTAAAAAACATTACATTCTGACTGAGCAGGGTTTGGGAGAAGGGTGAACCCATGAACTCAAGGTTACTCGTGGCGAATTATTACTAGTACTTAAATTCAGCCCATTATACCCTCTAAGATAGTGAGATCTAAACTGCAATTGATCAATACTAAGCTAAAATGTCTTTGTTATGCATCAATAAGCAGTTAAGCACCAATTTTGTTTCTGGATCATAAGAGCAATGCATCCACTTGCAAGTTGCAACACAAACAATTTGTGGGAACTTAAAAACAAATTCAATTCCCTCTTTGCACACCCAATATGTCAATGGCATGTTTGGGAGCTCGAATTTGGATTTCAAATCCAAGTTTGGCTCGAATTACATGTTTGGGAATCTTAAAATTTGGGTTTGGAATTGAGACAAATACCTCTCATTCATAACAAAGCTCAATTACAAGGAAGGAAACTGTAATAAATAAAATGAGGAAGAAACGAAGGAACCAACCTCGAGGGCGTGCTTGTAACGGCGGGACTGGCGGAGATCTCTGGAGATGTGGCGGAGGTCGGAGGCGGTGACACATCTCCCTTCGCCCACCCATCTCTGAATGACGTGCGTGGCGCTTCTTTTGGGCAGTCTCAGCCTAAAGATTCTAGCTTTCAAATCGTCGACTTCTTCTTCCTCCTCCTCATCACCTCCTCCTCCGCCGTCTACATCCTTCTCCGCAACCGCCCGGTCCGGTGAATCGTCGCAGATGATTTCGATGGTAGTTGTAGACGAGAAGGATCTTAAGATCCCTCTCTCTCCGACTCGAGCATTTCTGTATAGATTTTCAAAAAAAGAAAAAGAAGGAAAGCCGGGAAGTGAGTTAAAAAAAGAAACCCATGGAGATATGGAAGAAGGGGATTTTACCGAGTGAGAGCGGCCAGAACGGAGCGAGCAGCACCAGCCGCCATTGGGATGCGGAGAAGACGATAGCAATTTCTGGAATTTTGAATCTTTAATTACTCAAATGGAAGAAAAAAAAGAACATAATGACCAAAAAGAAATGTCAGAAGTGGGATTTGAACCCACGCTCTCTCACGAGAAACAGAACTTGAGTCTGGCGCCTTAGACCACTCGGCCATCCAGACCTGTTGATTGATGTTTTAATTAAAATTTATATAAAGCATGAATTAAATGCGGAGTACCATTTACGTAATACGACTTTACGAGTAAAATTGGGTTTCACCTTACACTGCATTGTATATTCCATTCAGAATTATTCAGGTGTTAATATAGTCGCGGAGTTCAAATTTAATTATATTATAGTTTCGGACTATATAATGTTTGATTAAAATAATTTTTTATTTAAAATATTTACAATTTAGGGTAAAATAAAGATATAAATTTTATGTATTTAAATATAATGTCTTTTCTTAAGTCTTGTTTAGATTGCTTTCTTTTATTGTCGTAGAAAATTCTAGTTTTATCATACCAATTACATGAGTGAGTTGCAAAATTCTTTCTGACGCAAAAGATAGTTCTTTTCTTCCGATCAAAGATGTGGATATAGTGGGGATTGAAGTTCCTTTTTAATGATAAAGAGTCGTTTCTTGATAGGTCTTCCAATTAAATTTGACATTATGCAATAAGTCATGGTTGTCACTTGGAGACCAATGATGGGCTTGTGGATTAAACAAGGTGAATATAAGGTTTATTTTTCATCCACTTTTAACATGCGGAGGCCAAAAGAATTCTAAATGAAAGTCTTCGTCCTTTGGCAACTCTACATTACTCAACAATCTCATTACTTCATATGTGGTTTCATCGTGTACGAGTTTCTTCGGAGGAGACCTGCGTCCTAGCAGAGTGGGGATCAACAAGGGATTGGACAACATGATCTGTGAAGTTGTTGGTGTAAGATGGTGGGTTTAAATGAAAAACACATAAGCACTATCCCCTATTGTAATGAAATTGTGCGATCTTTGTTTCAGGGGACGAAATTGTTTCTCTTTATTAGAGTAATGGGTAAGAGAATTAATGGGTGGTAGACAAGGTTATTAAGATATACCGAGTATACGAGAATAAAAAATTAGATGGAAGGTAAAATAGATATTTTGGACATTTGATTCATACTAAAAATAGAAAGTGGACAAAAATACGTGAATGACCTAAAAAAGAAAATGAACAAAAACACTGGAAGAAAGGGAGTACAACATACTCCGATCCATAGTTCATAGTATATATCTGACCTATACACGTGGTAAAAGTAAACTTGTTACATCTTAATATCTATCCTTCAAACTTTTCCCAATTCAATGTTAGTTCTTGCTCCATTAAACATCATCATGGAGTTAGCTGAGGAAGAAGCCAATTAAGCGAACTAGACTCAATGGATGTGTGGCTGCAAAGCACAAGTACTAGCTAGTTATTAAGCTAAGCCTTCCAATCAATATCTATTCTACCGAGAAGAGAATATCGCGCCATTGCACGAAAGAGATTTCATCCTCCTCGACTCGTTCATTACCACTGAAGAAGATGAAGATAAAAAAGAACAAGATTTCTTCAGACAAGCACAAAACTCCATTGAAGCTGATCTTCTAATCATAATAATCCTCCTATTTCCTCCTTCATTCATATGGATGACTTCATAATTTCCAACAACACCACCTCTATCCCCTTCCAAGTTTTCATCATGATCAAGAACCGTCATCTCATCTTCTCTTCTGCTAGTATTATCACTAATATTGTTCTCCTCCTGATGATCATCATGATGATGAATAGCTTCTTGTTGCTGCTGGTGATTATGATCATGAACTGCAACAATGGCGGAGCGACAAATGGGACAATTGGTATGGGATCTTAGCCACGTGTCGATACAATTCACGTGGAAGTTGTGGTGGCACTTGGGCAAAATCCTCACCATTTCTCCTTCTTCAAATTCACTCAAACACACACTGCAACACTCTTTCGGCCCTTCTCGTCTCTCATACCTGCAATTCCAATCTATACTCTGCATTAGTAAAAAGGAGAAGTGGTGCATACTTCTGCGTTTCATTCGCTTGATCTGATCTGATCTAATCTAATCTGATTATAGTTATATTTAAAGGTTTTTTATACGGAGTATCTTATCTGATTAGATCTGATTTTATTTTAATAAGAATAATTAGTAATAAACTGAAAAAATATATTGTGTCATTTGTGTGGAAGGGACCCTTACATCCCTTTTTATACTAAAGATTATGAATTGTGATTAGAGATCCATTAATTTAAGGGTACCTGCAAACAGTGATCCGGTTGATTATAGATGACCCAAGACCGGCGGTTCTGATATACCATATCGGGTGCTCCACCACCGTGTCGCTCAACCTTTCTACGCCGCCATCTTCTTCTTGCTCCTCCTCCGCTGGCGGTGTTCTTGAGCCGCCGCCACCAGCGCTACTCTTCAAAATTGTGTAGTAGTACACCAGGAAGAAAGTAATGGAGAGAAAGACGGCAACGGCGGCGAGAATGGAGAGGGCGACGGGGGCCCGAAAGTGGCTTACGGTATGCACGCCGGAGGAGGAGGCGGTGAAGTCCGGCGGCGGTGGAAGCGGGAGGAGGGGCGGACGTTGAGGCAAGAGTAAGGTCTGCTTGCAAGTGGAGAAACAGAGAGGAAGACAGAGTAATGGGCAGAGGCCGTCGTAGTTCCTGCTCGGATCGCAGAATCTAGTGCAATGTTTTTCGCCGGCCGGAATCGGGTCGGGCCTCGTCAGCTGCAGCTTCCTTCGCCGGGAACCCATCTCTATCTCCGGCCAAGGCGGCAAAAACATACAGAGAGGAGATAATGAAAGAGAAATAATTTTCGGTGCCGCTGAAATTAACGGTTTATGAGAACGGCGGAAGGGAGTAAATGCGGGAGTGAGGGGAGAGTTGGAGAGGTGGGGATGCAGGGACGGACGTTTGCTTTCGTTATCTCAAGACCAAACGGGTGGCCGTTAGTAGCTACCCAACAACTATTTAATGCCACTTCGTACGTACTCTAAATTAATAATCTCTCCGTGTTAAAAAGCCACTTTCACTCCCGCTTCGTACATGGAATTCAAATTATAGAATTGAAATTAAGATTAATAATTTCAATTCTAGTTTTTAGTAGTACAAAAATATGTAGATTTGGAATTGATAGTGCCAAAATTGAATTGAAATTGAAGAATTCAATTTCATCCAAATCAATTCCGTAGAATTTCAACTTCCAATTCAATTCCAATTTCGGCAATTCCGTGTACCAAACGGACCCTTATATTAAAAAGTCCATTTTATCTCTATTTTTTTATACTTTTTCCGTCCTACAAAATTCTTCTTCTTTCATTTTTCATTCGTCCCAAAAAATCCTTCTCTTTTTAATTAAAAAGTCACTTTTACTCCTATTAATTTTTAACCTACCTATCACATCACACTTTTTCTCTATCAATCTACTCATCCCATCCTACTTTAATCATAACATCAAAAGGTATTTTTGTAAAGTCAACACCAAAATACACTTCCCTTAAATTGTTTAAAAGTCAAAATAGAAAGTTTTTTGCGGGATGGAGGTAGTACTACTTATCACTTTGTAAGTTTTTTCTAATAATCTATCTTTTGCATCTTACTTTACCAATCAGATCAAGAACAAAATTAAAAGTAAACTACAATTTTACATATCTTTATTTAGTCAAAATGGGAAGTGTTTTCAGAAATAAGAGGAAGTGCCTAATACATCAAAATAAAAAATAAACATGCAACAAGCTACAGAGATAATTCTTTTTAGAGTAAAATTTATAATTAGTCATTTATAATAAAGAAACTTTCATATTTAAATCTCTATTATCAAATATTACTCATGTATTATTTCATTTATGGATACTAGGGAAAGGGAAACCCGATATTCGGGAGGAGAAATTTATCCATATAGACTTCTATAACATTTTTTTATATAATTTTAAAAATATTTATCTCAATACTTAAAATATACTTATTTAACATATATAAAAATTCACCATTGACCTTAAGTCGATGTAATAATTTACTCATTATGTTATGACTAATGATGTCCCCAAAATCAAATTTGAATATGAACGGATATTAATTTAAATTGAATCCAAATTAAAGATGAAAAAAATCAAATTTCTATTACAAATATTATCTGGGTTTAGAAGACAAGCAAAGCTTAGTACTCCAATGATGAAACAAAATAAAAACCAGCCAACTTGAAAGCAATCCAAACCAAATAGGGTTTAAACTCATCAAATCATGTTCACTTAACACTTATAATCAAAAGAATTGGGAATAAAGAATGAGAATGCATATTGATAAACCACCATTTGAAGGATTATAGTATTCCCTAATTTGGGGGGGGGGGGGGGGCTAA